ACTAAGAACTTTGATATGGCAACAAATTTAATAACCTTGTGGATCCGGACCCATTCCAAGACACTTACAAAGCAGCAAGACTAAATTATGAGGACATAGAAAATCTACCAGACCAGTATGGAGATGTTTCACATCATCAGAAATTTATAGATATTATTCTCATTAAATAACAGAAAAATAATTCTGGAAATTCAGGAACATAAATCCAAGTACTGAATGGATGATTTAAATTACACCTTTGTATGCTATTCTTAGTTCACAAATGTAAAACTGATAATTAGCTGACGTGTTAAAATGAAAGTTTACATAGAAACCATTGAATTCTATTTTGTGGCATTAAAAGATTGAAAAACTCACATTTGTGAAATGTTAATGGGATGAAGGCTTGTTTTGTGGTAATGGAATACATACTTATTAACTATAACAATTTGGGTTTATCCTTGAAATAATGAATTTATTTTCATAAGAGTTATTATGATTATAGTAGGCATATCATAGACCACACACCAGATTAAAAAAAATGCCTATTTTTTACTTCCTCACTCAAAGTGAAATTACATTGCCATTTAGTGGCATAAGATTAGGGAGTATTTTTTGGATTCCTTAATAGTAATCAAATGGTATTTACACTGTTTAAAAAATGGGGAAGCTTATTAGACATTATAATATTATCTTTTTAAAATTAATTAATCACTTGCTTATGTAATTAAGTAATTAAGAGTTTTTAATGGGTATTCTTGAATCCAACACATTATAATATTTTTCAATAAATTGGTACAATAAACAAAAATATGTTGAATTACAGGAAACTAGGTCTGAACATTACATCAACTCAACAAGAAGATACACTCTAGGAACAGTAAATATAATTGCAGGTTTTGGCCCCAGAGTATTTACTAAACACCAAATACCCACTGCACCCAAATTCTGCTTATGCCAAGAAAATATTTTAGCCTAACCTCCAGAGGCCAAAGAAGGATTGAAATGGACTCATTTTTTTCTCCGCACTTCAGATTTTTCTGAATATGACTGAGTTGTGAGATCAGGACTTTGAAAAAGTGTCAGCTGCTCACACTGGCAGCTTCTCCTTCTGTTGAGGGAAGATGTACTTGAATATGATCTGGTGAGTTTCCTTAGGTTTTATAAACACATAGATTATAAAAAATATTGAAAGCCCATATGTGACTTTTTTTGAATTGGTGAAATAATTACTACTGCCATTTAACTTGTAAAATGTGAAATAATATGTATGAACTATGATTAATTTCATGTTAGTTAGGAATCTGGGAGAGAACATTGTAAACTCCTTCCATTCCAGAATCATTTTATGGACAATGGTTCCCACCTCCCTAGCAATGGTTTTCTATATATATATATATATAACCATCATAGAAGTAATTCAATGTGAATGTTCCTTCCACTATGTACTGACTCTTGTACTAGTACTTATAAGATATGTGAGATGTTTTTCAAATCAGCATGAGCAGGTATATTGCTGAGACAAGGTAGGAAATACATTCAAATATTTTATAGAAAGCAAAGTGGCTATATTTTCTATCTTCACAAAATAAAGATCAAAAGAAGCTTCAGGTAAATATTGAAAGAGAAAAACAAAAGACAGATTTCTTGTCATAACCAAGCCATTCTAGCCTTCTTATCTGTTATAATCCTTAGGGAAAAATCTGAGTGAAAGTAAATTCTGGAAGGGACTATGAATGGTCAATATTTTTAGAACCTTGAGAAAAATCCTAATAACAAAAATAATTGGTAATATTATTAATTGTATCTTAATAATTTAGGAAAGACTGTCATTATGATTTAGAAATATCATATCCATTGAAACATGAGACATTGTTATAAAGCATGAATATTCACCTAAAATTGTGGTAAAGATGCTGGATTTTGAATTTCCCATTGTTATTGCACAGTAATAATTTGGACACAATGAAATATTAGAATTAAAAATGCACATCCAATGTAAAATTCTGATCAACCATGAAAGAAGAAAAAAATGTGACCATCATTGTGTCCATAAATTGATGCTCATCAAAATTGACAAAAATTTCTGAAATAATATTAAAGAACCAGGGAAAGAGTCACTGAAATCCCTTCATTATTTCTTGCTTCTTTACTTGGTATCACAGATGTATAAAGCATCCATAGTTAAGTAAGTCTTAGGTAGATATTGATAACATATAATGTGACAGGTGTTTTTACATAGTCATATACTACACACACAAAATATCCTGTTAATATGCATAATTTTTTTTTGAGAAAAAAATACAAAGTTGAAAGTTGAAAACAAAAACTGCACTTAATCCAGACATATGGCTACTCTCTACTAATTATTGGCAAACATAGATACAAATTACTAGAAAGACAAACCAAATATTTTTGGGGTAAATGCAGTGATATTTTCATGGAGATGTTTTTGCTGGGTTCCTAAGTGGAAAATAAGTATCATTCTCTCAGCCATAAAAATGGAAATTTCTGGACCATGAACCTCACCTGCCTACATGAGTAAATGTATCATTACAATCTCTAGAAAAGTCAGTGTCATCTTTAGTCTCTCTTCAATGCTGTCTAACTGAAATATTATTTGGTTTAATTTACAGTATTTTGACACTTCAGTGCAACAAACCCACACATACTTTGAAACACACAAACAAACACACATGCAAGAAGGCTGAAAGAATTCTCAAATAAATTTTACTTCTCTCATTGAGGCAAGTCTCTCCCATTAATCCAGACAATTTTCCCAATGAAATTACACAGTCTACTGCAGAAGCTATAAGCATACATCATCCTCAGCTTTTAAGTTATTCAAGTGCATCCATGCAATTCGTGCTGAAAAAATGATATAGGAAGATTATTTTCATGTCTCTGGTTTGGCTAACAACTGTATAAAGGCACACTCAAACCCTCACCATTCAGAAATTACTAATGTTGCTATGTGTTTTATTTCTTTATACTCTTTATTCTCTGCTTTTTTATGTTCTTATGTATTTATATATCTGGAGAAAATAAAGTGTTTATAATATATGTTACTTATACACCATCTGAAGGGATAAGATCCAAATCAGAAAAGATATTTCATAAAGACAATATTTTAAGAATACCTAAAGTATTATCATGAAAATATTCAATTACATTTTTAGGAATTGTCAAATTTTTGCTGCTGCACCAATTTTGAATGATATATATAATATCATTAATATATAATTAAATGCCATCTAGACATCAAATTACATGGGTTAGGTTGCAGACAGTTTCAACTATTCTTCAAAATAATTTTTTTCCAGATAATAAGTACAAATTTGATGTTACTAAGTGAATGTTCTAAGTTCATTTCTGTATTTTTACAAAGTACATGCCATATGTGCTAAAGTTCATTTTTCTTAATTTTATTGCAGTAATTTTGGTTTATAATACTACAAAAGATTCAGGGTCAGACTCACACCTCTTCAAATGTATGACACCACTTGATATCTTTCTTCATAGTTAACATCACTGGGTATTTTTGTTTAAATGCTTAATTTTTGAGTGCAAAATTTATTTTTCATAGCTATTTTACAATTTACTTGCAAAGAATGAGAACAAATGATATTTTAATATGCATACTAGTTACATTAGCTTCTCATAAAAATACAACTGCTGATAAGGCTGTGAAGAAAAGGGAACCCCCTTACACTGCTGGTGGAAAGCAGACTGAGCAGCCTGATGAAAGCAGCATGGAGGAATGTCAACATTAAACATGAATCTGGTAATTCCACTCCTGGGCATCTATCAAAAAAAGAAACACTCACTAATTGGAAAGGAAACTTGCTTTCCATGTTTATTTTAATTCCATTTACTATACTTGAACTATGGAAACAACCTAAATGGCCCAGAACAAATGAATAGATTAAGAAGATGTGGTCTATGTACACAATAGAATACTATTTAGGGACCAAAAAATAGACACTTGTTCCATTTGCAGTAATATGGATGGAACTTGAAAGAATAATGCTAAGTGAAATAAGTCACAGGGGAAAGGATAAATCATTTGGTGTCACCAATAGGTGGAATATAAAGTAAGTAATTTAATAGTCAGATAAAGACAAGCAGAAAAAGTGGTCCTTGATAATTGAACTATAAACTGAAGTACCAAACATAGATAGGGGAGAGGTTGGGGGAGGAGGATGAACAAAGAGGATAGGAAACAAAAGACTTATGGTGGTAGATGGGTGAGTTGGTGGTGGGGCATGATGATGGTGGTAATATCTGATGCAGGTGCTCCAAAATTACCTAGTTAAAAATTTAATTAATGAATGAAAAAATGCACTGTAGAAGAAGGTGTGTCTTTTTCTTTTGGGATTATTATTTTTATGAATATTTCAAAAAATTTTATGATGTGTGATGTTCATAATTATTGTATAAGTACTATCAACTTGGTGTTTGATAACAAATTTATTTGTTGAAAACAAATGTTTAGTTAGAAGAAAAACAATGAGACATCTTTTATTACATGGGAAATTAAATTATACTATGGCAACAGTAAATCTATCACAATTGGATGGTATATGAAGATAGAATGATTAATAAAAGAGATTAGTAGTTAAGACACATTTATATGAGAATGTGAACTGAAAATTCATTTTTTATAAATAAAATATTGGTGTACCATTGCCTAATAACAAGATTATACATTTAAACTATATTTTATTAACATAAATATAGACATTCATTTCCCCTTTCTTTTCATTGAAATTAGAAATAATTGTATTTATCATCTTCCTTACCCATGTTTCCACGACTATGTGTAAATCATTTAAAATTGCATGACATGATTATTAGTATAAGGAACTACTATCACATTTATGATGAAGTGGTGATTTCTTCAGATAACTTCATGCCTGATTTTGCTGAGTCCAAGGGGCTTAGGTGGTCAAGTAACGGACATTTTCTTTCAATAGATCTCAGCCTGTCTTGCAGTGAACATTACTGAAAAATGAAGAAATATGGCTAATTTCACTATGAGTGGGTTTGTTCTGATGGGATTTTCTGCCAAGCCTGAGCTGGAACTCTTCCATGCTTCTCTGTTCTTGGTTTTATACATGGTGGCAGTAATTGGCAACGTACTCATTATCACTGCAGTTTCCATGGACAACAGTCTCCATTCCCCTATGTATTTCTTTCTGAAACATCTCTCCTTTCTGGACCTGTGCTACATTTCCGTGACTGTGCCAAGGGCCATTTACACCTCTTTCATGCATAGTGGCTACATTTCCTTCGGGGAATGCGTAGTGCAGAGTTTTTCTTTCATTCTTTTTAGTGCCGCTGAGCTGTCCATGCTCACATTGATGTCTTATGATCGCTACGTGGCCATCTGCCTTCCACTGCACTACGAAATCATCATGGATGTCAACAAATGTGTTCACAGTGTCCTAGGCGTCTGGATCAGTGGGATCATAACTGGAATCATGCACTCAGCTGCTACTTTCTCCATGCACTTCTGTGGTTCCCATATCATTCACCAGTTCTTCTGTGACATCCCCCAGCTCCTGAAACTCTCTTGTTCTAGTGAGTTCATCAGTGATATTGGAGTCATTGGCTTCTTGATTGTTATGGCCTTTCTTTGCATCACCTTTATTGGACTGTCCTACACAAAGATATTCTCTACTGTGCTGAGGATGCCATCTGCTGAGGGCAGAGCTAAAGCTTTTTCCACTTGCCTTCCTCACCTCGCTGTTGTCATTTTGTTCATGTCCAGTAGTGGCTTTGAGTATCTCAGGCCACCTTCTGACTCCCCAAGTGCTCTGGACATTTTTCTCACTATTATGTACACAGTTGTACCCCCAACACTCAACCCAATGATCTACAGCCTGAGAAATAAAGCCATGAAGGCAGCTTTAAGAAAGGTTTTCCAAAGAAGAAAAGCTGATGTCTTTTGATGAGGCCCATGTATTAATTTTTGTGTGAGAGAAAAGTTCAAAATACATTGGCAAACCATAGACTTAAGTAAATACATATAAGTTAAAATGAAATGAGTTTCTGAAAAAATCAAGAGTAAGGACTCAAGGCTGGGAACAACTTCCAGGTATTTCTGGAAAATCTGGCCAAACTTTGAGACTTTCAATGAGGATTTTACACAATTTGCAAGGGTATGGGCGAGTGTTTGGTTAATGCCCTTATCTTATGTTCTCTATGCATTGAGGAAGACAGGTAAGGTTGCTCAAGTTTTTCCTATACCATTTATTGAAGAAATCCTATTAAAGGATTTCTTTTCAAGGAACTGGGAGTTTTAGCCCTGCAATAACCTGCAGTCTGTCTTTTTTGAAGTCAGTGATTTATCCATAGGGAGCTGTTTTCACCATGCTGCTTTTTTCACATAGAACATTTATCCTCACACAATTTCAGGTCCAGGCCAGCTGAATCTTAACTCTGGCTTTGTACCCCTTAGCTGGGGGCTAGGAAGGGGGACACAAATTATTAATTTAGGTTAATGGAATATAACTCAGTCAAGCAAGAATTTAAAGCTAAATACAGAAATGAGCTTAGTGAAAGTTGTCATAGTATGTGCTTTCTGAGTAACACAAATATTCACCCATGTCATTTATAAACATTATTCATGCAAACTCAGTAGATTAAAATCTCTTTCCACACAGCTGCTCTTTTCATTTGTTCTGATCCCAACAAAAGAAAAGATCTGCACTCACATAGCCCCCAAATTCTTTGAGCTGAAAATAACATCTCCAAATTGAAAGCATTGAAAGAACTTAAAGATTCCATTAAATGCAATCTTCTTTTAAATTATACTGTAAGAAGCGTCAGCAGTACACCATGGTTTGCTCAAAATTTTGGGATTTCAAAATTGAGAGTCCTGTCCTTCCAATATATTTTTTTCATTCTCCCAGAGTATTCCATATAATAGTTTATACTTTCAAGCATTTAACAGAGTTTTTGATGAACCTAGAGATATAGCTTAATTTTCTTCCAAAAATATGTCACCATGAGTCAGATAATGTTATAAACTTCAGAAGCTGTAAGGTGATTCTAGCTCAATTGTTTAGTTTCCCAAAATATAAACATTTAAATATTAGCTATTAAGTAGAATACAGCACACATTTATTTTCAAAAGTTTTAACATATATTTTCCATTTGATCTTAATAACCATCTTTGGTAATAAAAGCCAACTAAAAGTTTGGTGATTTGACTTCAGAAACCCAATTGGTTGGATATTCTTATGAAGTGAAATAATAAGGGACAATACATGACAATATGTCAAAGTTTATTTTTTTCTGTTCTATTGTTAGGCTTACAGCAGTTAGAAAATTTTTAGTGATGATTTCACTTACTACAACTGAAAATAAGTATAGGACAAAATCCTAGATGTGTTATTGATGCTCCTTTAATTCGCATTATTATGAATATCTTTTCTTATTTTTCTTTTTTTTTTTGAGATAATATTGGTCGACAGCTTTGTTTAAGTTTCAGGAACACAGCTTCACACTTGATATCATATATACCACACTGATAACACCTCCAGAGGTTTAATTATCATCCAGCATCATTGAATACACACTCTCCCCAACATAACCTGCATTCCCCTTCCCCTGCATAACCAATCTTCTGTAGTCTTGAAATAAGGGGTTTGTTTGTATGTGTTCAATGACTTTGTTTCTCTATATTCCACCTAGACTGAAATCATACAGTGTTTATCTTTCTTTCTCTGAGTTGTTTCGCTTAGCATAATCCCTTTAAGTTCCTTCCTGTTGCTGCAAATGATAGCACTTCAACTTTTAAATGTCTAAATAATATTCCTATATGTGTGTGCATATACATATATATATATATATATACATACACACATATATAATTTATCCATCATTCACTGATAGGCATTTATATTCTTATCTGGTAGCTGTGTAAATAGTGCTGGATCAACATAGAGATGCGTCTATCTTTTCAAATAGTGTGCTAATCTTCTTTGATTGAAACCAACTGTTAGATTTCTGGATCATACACAAGATCTATGTTTCATTTTTGAGGAACTTACATATTATTTTACATAGTAGTTATACCAATATAGCAGTGTACTTGAATTCCCCTTTCTCTGTCTCTTTTCCAACACCTACTCTTTCTTTTTCTTTTTTTAAAGATTTATTTTCTGTATTTATGCATACAAGAACTGGGGTGTACGTTAGAGATGGGAGGGATGAGAGGATACACCAGAGACAGAGTGGAGAGCAGAGCAGGCAGATCTACTGAAGTACACTGCTGAGGGGAGCAGTGGGTGAGTCAGGAGAGGTCTGCTGCTCCATTTGGGTTAGCTCCCTGGCTGGGGATAGAACTCATGCTGCAGTGGCTGTGGTTAGCTTCATAATGCCAAGACTTAACCCCTCGTGCCACCAGGGAGTCCCAACACCTATTCTTTCTTGTCTTCTGTGAATAACTATTCTCCCAGTTGTGAAGTGAGACATCATGTGGTTTTTTGATGTACATTTCTCACAAAATAATTGAATATCTTTTCATGAGTTTATTGGTTATAGAAGAAGAGCTTATTCAGATCATGTGGTCATTTTTGTTGTTATTGAACTGTATGAGTTAATTATTTCTTTTGGATATTAATTCCATGTGTGATATATGGTCTGTAAATATCTTCTCCCATTCAGGAGGTCACCTTTTTCTTCTGCTGATGGCTTCTTGCATTGTCCAGAAGTTCTTTAGTTTGATGTAGTCCCATTTGTTTTTGTTCCCCTTGATATTGGATTCCAGTCCCCATAGTCATCTGTAAGGCCTTTGTCAATAAATTTGTTGTTTATTTTTCCTTTATGTTTCCTTTCAGGTATGTTGTGGTTTCAATTTATGACTAAGGTTGATGTCAAAGGGTTTATATAAAGAGTTTTATCCCCATGTATTTTTGAGACTATAGGCTATACTTAAAGTTTTTAATCCATTTTGAATGCAGTTTTGTGTATGGGGTAATATCATAGTATAATTAGATTCTTTTGCAGATGGATGTTTAGTTTTACCAATACCATTTATTGAAGGCATTTTCCTCTTTTCATTTGCATGTTTTTGTCATATATTACCTAGTGATATAAGGGTGTATATATTTATGAGCTCTGGAAGTTTTTCCTTTGATTCTTGTGCCTTTTATTATTCTAGTATCACACTGTTTTGATTACTAAATTTTTCTTAGTATTGTTTGAGATTAGAGGGGTGATACCTCCATTTTCATTTTCCCCCTTCAGTGTTACATTGGTTATGCATGGTATTTGTGATTCTCTACAAATTTTATTTGTTCAATTTCGTGGTTAAATAGCATTGAAATTTTGATAGGAATTACATTGAATGAATGTATGACTTGAGTCAAGATGAACCTTTTAAACAATGTCAAAATTCTTGAATGAAGAAACACTTGGGCACTTATATGTCATTGGGAAAACCAACATAAGGATACAAGGTATCCAAAAAGGGGAGATAGAGAGATGGGAAGAGAACTTATTCAGAAAATATAGAGGAAAACTTGCTAAGCCTGGGAAAGGAAGTAAATATATGTCTTCATAAAGCTAAAAGAATACCTGGTTATCTGAATGTAGTGAGAGCTACACTGAAACACATATTCATGAAGCTATTAAGAGTTCATGACAAAGAAACAATAATAAGTGTGGTCAGGGAAAGAAACTAGTAGCTTATTAAGGAAATCCCATCAGGTTGCCAATAGACTTCTCAGAGAAAACCCTGCAGACAACAAGAAAACGGAACAACATATTCAAAATACTTCACAAAATAAAAATTGTCATCTAAGAATATAATATTTTCCACTCTCCTACAGATGCATGGGAAAAATAAAGCACTTCCCAGACAAACAGAAGCTAAGGGACTTTTCCAACACCATACATCTCCTACAAGAGATATTAAAAGGGGTTCTCCTACCTACGTTGAAGAAAAAAACCCTACAAAAACTGAATAAAGAATCAGACAGGTCCAAAATAATAAAGACAAAATGCTAATAAAAAAACTTCATATATCAATAATCATCTAAATCTTAACTGACTGATTCATTAATTGCAAAGCACAAAGTGGTTGGATGGATCAGAACAAAACACAACTTTCTGTTGTCTCCTGAAGGCTCATCAGAGTTTCAAAGATAAACATAGACTCTGAATAAAAGTTGGTAAACAACTCTAGAAACAATGAATGCTTAAGAAGGGAGAGGCAACCATAATTATATCAGATTAAATAGTCTTTTAGATAAAAATATTAATAAGAGACAGAGATGCACATTATGTATGATTAAGGGATCATTATATCAGGAATACATAAAGCTCATCTTTCTCTCACTCTATGTCTATATACATACCACATGAAGGAGCAGCAAAATATAAAATACAACTACTATCAAATTGGAAATCAGATGTTCGTGGCAACAAAACAGTAGTAGGAGACTCAACATCTCACTATCACCATTGGAAAATTATTTACATAATATATAACTGAAATGATTAATTTCCACATATATAAAAAACTCCTACAACTCATGCAATTCAACAACAAAGTGCCAAATACCCCAATTAAAAAATGGGCAGCAGATATGAAGAGACAATTAGCTAAAGTGCATATTAAGAAAGGCAAAAGCAAATAAAAAAATGTCACCATTACTCCTAATAAGCGAATTGTTGATTAAAACTACAGAGAGATACTACCTCACACCTGTGAGAATGGCATATAGCAAAGATCCCAACAACATGTGTAGGAGAGGATGAACCCTATATATTATTGGTTGGAATGTGAGCTTGTGAAACCATAGGGATAGAAATTTGTATTTACCTTAAATATTAAAAGTGTATGAGACCCAGAAATTCTACTCTTGGGCATATATCCACAGATTATGAAACCACCAACAAAAGCAGCCCACATTTTCTACAATATTGATAGCAGCGTTAT